TGGAACTCATGATGTATCCAGGGATGACTTTTAACTCCTGGTCCTCCAGGTTCCATCTCCAAAATGTTGAGACTGCTGGTGAATACCTCCATGTCTGCCTAGGGAAATTTTTTTTTAGCTGTTATTTGGTTCACAATATTTTTATGTTAGGAATCTGAGGACTGGGTCTTGGGTTTCTCTTCAGTAGCTGTACATTCTTGGCTTTCCTTCCCAGGAACATTTCTCACCCCACTTCTTTATTGGTTCTGGTTCTATCATGGGTGGGTCTTAGATGGTAGGTCATCTCTGATTCTGTGGGGTGGCAAGTGGGGATGGAGGTCCTGAAGATCCTGTCACCAGTGACGTTGTCTGCAGCCACTGTGTGATTTCTTTTGGGTCGTCACCTGCCAGCTCATTCCCAAGTAAAGGCCCCAGGTTGTCTGTAGACACACCAGATTCTGCTGGGAATGCCTGGAGAGGGAACAGAAAGCCAGTTTGAGATTTGTGAGGTAGCATGATAGGAAGAGAGAAATGAAGATTGGACAATAGAAAGAGGATCAAGGAGCAAGGCATGGTGGGGTAGGGGCATGGAATCTTCTAAACTCATTATACCAGGCCTCAGTTCACATCTGTGGAATGGGTATGACAGGGCTGTTTCAGGAATCAGTCAACACCCATCACAATCTGGAATGTGTGGTGACAATAATGATAACGGTAATGCTGTCTGCTTCCCAAGGGTTGTTTGAGACTGGGGCTTGTAGATGTCTTTTCTCTGTTGTGGTGACTACATCCTGGGGGTCAACATGCCGATGAAGGGGGCACTGCCAGGAGGAGGAGGGTGCAGATCTGGTTTCTGCTCTACCATGGGACTCTCCTTCCCCTGTCTTCTGGTAACCACAGTCCAGGCACCCCAGGCTCCTTACTGTCCTCTGCCCTGCAGCAAGCTTGGTGCCTGATGGTGAGGGTGGCAGGAAGGAGGCTGAGGGAAGCCAAGCTGAAAGTGAGAGTTGGGAGGAGGCCATGGAGTGGACACAGCTTGAAATTGTGCTCTGGCCAGTTCCCTCCTTTGTCCTAAGCCTGTTCTCCAGGCTCTTGCTTCTCTCCTCTCCAGGCTCCCTTTGCTCTCAGCACATCTACACACCCTGGCTCCTCCCTCCCTCTCTGCCTCCCTGATTGCAGCTCCAGGCTCCTCTGTTGGTGGCTCCTCTGGATTCCCTATCCCATCTCCATTTTCTACCATCCATTTCTATTCCAAGGGAGCTCTTCTTTATCTCCTTATGTACTTCTGGCCCACCCCCCCCTCTCTCTCTCTGTCTCTCTCTCTCTCTCTCTGGTGTAAGTCGCCATCTTTTCTGTTCCTGTCCACCCCAGTCTTCCTCTTATGCTCCTGTCTCCTTATTGCCCCCTCTACCTATCACACAGCCGTACCCATGCACCCCCTCTCCTGACTCTTGCCCTTGGTAGTGACACCCTGTTGTTGGACACGCTATTGGATCTGGGGGCCGTTGGCTAGATTCAGGGTCCAGGCTTAACCTTCACTTGCTCACCTGATGAAATCACAGTAACAGCAAGCCTAAATGTAATGAGCACTCACTACAGAGCTGCGCACAGTCACACAACTCTGTAACTCTGGAAAAGGAATATTATTGTGTCCATTTTATGGATGAGAAGAGCAGGTCTAGAGAAGCCAAATAGCTGGCTGAAGGCTTTTCAGTAAATCACATTGGGCAGGCATGTGCAGGCTGCCCCCTATAGGCCAGGCATGTGCAGGCTGCCCCCTACAGGCCGGGCAAGTGCAGACTGCCTCCTCCAGGGCTCTTAACCACAGCCCTGGGAAAGGCTGCTTTCAGTCTCCCAGTGAGACAGAATCTTAACCTGAATCAGAGTCTGTCTGTCTGTCTTGTCTTTCTCTCTCTCCATCTCTCTCTCTGTTTCTCTCTCCCCTTTCCATCTCCCTCTCTGTCTCTCTCTCTGTCTCTATCTCTGTGTCTCTGTCTGTCTGTCTGTCTGTCTGTCTGTCTGTCTCTCTCTCTCTCTCTCTCTCTCTCTCTCGTGTGTGTGTGTGTGTGTGTGTGTGTGTGTATGCACATGTATATATGAATGTGTGTGCCTGTGTGGAGGCTAGAAGTTGACTTCGGGTGTCTTCCCACCTTGCTCTTCACCTTATTTTTGAGACAGTCTCTTACAGAACCTGGAGCTTTTCAGCTAGACTGACCAGGAAGCTCTGGGATCTTCCTAGCTCCCCCTTCTGGCGCTGGCATTACAGCATTGGGGTTACAGCCATGCCTGGAATTTTATACAGGTGCTGGCGAGACAAGCACTTTCTCATGCTTGCATAATAAGCTTTCTTCTCAGCCCCCTCTTCATGGGGGGGGGGCTGGGTAACATCCTCACAGTACCTCCAGAGTCTTCCAAGGGTCTTATGATCCCTTCTCCCTTTGCACATTCCTAGGCTGGCCCCGAGATTTGTTCTGCAATGCCAGGCACAGACCTAGATCAGATCTTTATCCACTGGATCTCATTTAGTCATAGCGATCCTGGGAGGTGTCTGCTACTCATCACCTTACAACAGCACAGAGAAGTCTAGCAACTTGACTGGGGTCACACAGCAAGTGGCTGAGCAAGGTTCTGAGCCTGGCACTCTTGCTGTCCAGAACCTGCCCTCTCATTAGAGACACCATTTCACACGGCTTCTAAAGCAGAGCGGTGACACCCGCTGTGACTGATACTTTGAGCTGCTCTTGTAGTCCACTCCAGCCCTTGGCTTCAGCCTGCTTCTGCCAGTGTTGCCTGCTGTGGCCTCCTCTGTGCCAACGGGCGGGCGCTGAAGTCTGTTCGGACTGCCGGCCCTAATGGGTACCTGAGGGGATTTATAGACAGCTATCCCCGGGGAGCAGGGACAAGTGTTTTCCTCTCCAGCCGCTCTGTGCAGCCCCCCAGCCCAACATCTCCCTCGTTCCGGCCCATCACAGCAGCTGATTTAACTCAGTGGCTGGGGGATTTAGCTGCTGCCCTGGTTCCTACTATAAATCCCTGGGCAAATAACGAAGTTGTGCATCAAAGCTGCCCAGGAGCGAGTGGGAGCAGATGGTTGTGTGGCCGTGGGGTGGGGTAGGTGAGGAAGGCTCCAGGCCTTACCATCCATCCCTGGCCACAAGACCAGGGCGCATAGTGTTCAGGCACACCGTCCAGTCCATTCTGGATAGCTCACCAGCCCTGTGTCTCCATCCCTCAGGTGCGGGCTCTGGCAGCGTCTGATCTCTGCAATCCCATTTGGAGTTTGTTTACCTGACCCCACCCCCCAACATGACAAAACTGACTGTTTTCCTAGGGTCTGATCCTGCTTCCCAGTCAGGCTTTTCTTAGTCTCCCCTAGAAGTGGCTTTAACTCCCAGGCTGGCCAACCCAGGCTCAGTGGGAAGGGTGAGATGCTTAGAATGTAGGGACCAGAGTTGGGGCTGAGGCAAATTTGCAGACCAGAGAAGTGTGGATGAACCCCATAGGGTAGAGACATCTACTGAGTGAAGGCGAGAGGGTGGGTAGCCATGATTGGGATCCCCAAATGTCCCACACTTTGGCCCATACTCAGAGAGGCAATGTGGCCTCTGTGGGTCTGCATGGACCTGGGGATGAGGTGGCATTGGATGGGACCACATTCTGCTAGCTTTTCAGATGCTTCTGACACCTCTCGACTTTTTCAGTGGCTCCTCCTTGCCTCCCCCGCCCCGTTCTGCTGGTTTTCTTGTTCTTTTCCACAGCTTTCTCTCTCCATATGTTGAAATCACTCTTCCCTGGGCTGACCAGCTAGTGGTGATGGGATCCTGCTGGAGCCCTGGTTCTGCTCCCTAGAAACCCCCTCATCCAGAGCCTGTCCCTGGTGTCCATGCTATTTTCCTCCTCATCCATCTTCCCTGTCCCCCTCCCCGCCTCCGCCTGGGAAATTACAGACACTGAATCAGCAGCCCTCACCAGTGTTCTGCTGACAGGGGATTTTCTGCCTCTGAGGGCTCCTGGGTGAGACCAGGCACCTCCTGGGGCCTGCAGACATGGGGTAGGGGGGAGAAAGGGAAGAAGGGAAGGAGAGGGAGAGATGAAGGACAGAAGGTAAGAGGGTGGGAGGGGCCTTGGAGAGACAAAAGGAGAGTTCGAGAGGGGAATTGGGGTGGTTGTAGTGGTGCAGGCCTTAAATCCCAGCAGAGGTGGCAGAGGCAGGCAGATCTCTGTGAGTTTGAGGCCAGCCTGGTCTATATAGTGAGTTCCAGGACAGCCAGAGTTACATAATAAGACCCTGTCTAGAAAAAAAAAAAAAAGTAAAGAAAAAAGGGGGACTGGAGAGATGACTCAGTGGTTAAGAGCACTGGCTGCTCTTCCCGGGGACCTGGGTTCAATTCCCAGCACCCACATGGCACCTCACATCTACCTGTCTGTAACTCCAGTTCCACACCTTCTGATACCCTCACACAAACATACATGAAGGCAAAAAACCAAAAAAAAAATTAATATAAAATAAAAATAAATAAATTTTAAAAAAGGACTTTCTCACCCTATTGTCAGGAAAGTAAAGGATAATTAATTTGTTAAAAAAAAAAAAGAAGCCAGGAGTGGTGGTGCACACCTTTAATCCCAGCACTCTTGAGGCAGAGGTAGGTAGATCTCCATGAGTTCGAGGCCAGCCTTGTTTACAGAGTGAGTTCCAGGATAGCCAGGGTTACATAGAGAAACCCTGTCTCGACAAGACAAAACAAAACAAAAAAGAAAAAAGAAGTGATACAGGAAAGACGGGAGAACAATGCAGGAAGCTGAGAGCGGCAAGGACAGGAGAGGGGGAAAGGAAGAATGGAGTGTGGTGGTGGCAGCTTGTCTGACCAATGCGTGAACCCTCCAGCCCAGCCATCCTTGAGCCCAGCAGGTACCTTAGAGGCCCAGGTTCACTGGAGCTGGACTGAGGGGTGCAGACGGGGCCTAATGTCCCTGGGCCTGGGGCTCTCCCTTGCCCCGCCCTCTCCTTCTCACGTGGTGGTTTGTACTTCATCTTGTTTGCGGGGCGGCTGGGCCTGCTCTCGGGGTTTAATGATCTGTGCCATTATTTATAGCTTTGCGCGCCGAGAAACACACTGAATTTATCGCTTGCTTCTATAAATAACCCTGGCAAACGGGTGCCCAGGGATGAGGGAGGGAGCGGGAGGGAGAAGCAAAGAAAGAAGAGGTGGGGGGGTGGGGCAGGGGAGGTCTCTGCGGACTCAGTCCCTAAAATGGGGTGATATGCACGCACAAGGACAGCAGAAGCTGGAGGGAGCGTGGGTGTGTGTTTAAGAGCAAGTTAATAGGAGCAGGGTGACTTGTGCCTCTCTGATGGGGAAGCAGATGCCTGTGCGTTTCTGAGGACGCTCGCCTGTGAGCTGACTGTTACTGGTTGTTTGTTTCTGGTGCCATGTTGGTGACAGTGAGATTGAAACAGCACAAATGAGCCCCGAGAAATGGCTCGTTTGTACATGGCTGTGTATGAGAGGCAGGGGTGGGGAAAGGGGAGTCTGACTCCTTTCTCTACAGTTGGGGTGACAGACTGTGGAACTGTTCTCTTTCTGGGTGTTCAAGGCCATAGGCGGGAAGAAATAAGGCTGGAGAATGCAGGTTAAGCCAGTAAGGGGAGGAAGCTCCCAGCGTCCTATGGGGGCAGGGACCAGAGTCATCCTCCACAGGAGCCTGAGGGACCACAACACTTGAGCTTGGGGGGGTGTGGGAGGGCGGGGGTTGGAGGGTGGGGGGGTGGTGGATGAGGAGACCGGTCCACTTGGCACCAGCAATCCTCCGCCTGGTCCTGAAGGGAGCAGTGCTGTACTCCATCCAGTCTACCCAAGCATAGCCAAATATTCTATGCAAAGACTTCCAGTGGCAGAAGCCTTCTGATTGCCTGCCCACAGTGGCCTTTGGTCCCTGCCATAGGCTCCTCCGCAGCCCTCTCCTAAAGCCCGCCTAGGATCAGCCTTAGGGACAGAGAGCCCTGGTACCCCTCTTCCCTTGCCCACAGTCCCTGCTCAGTACATCTTCACAGAAACACTGCAACCATTAGCTCAGGAAGTGCTCTGCATTGCTAATGAGTACATTTGCATATGTAATGAAGACCCTTCACAGGTGTTGGGGAAGCCCCCCTCCTCTTCTCCCTTTCTTCTCTCCTGCCAGCTGCCACTTTGACCTGTGGCTCTGGTGCTGAGGAGGGGGTTCCTCGTCTGGTTTGGAGGTGTGCCAAGTGAGGCAAGTGAGTATCAGGGGTTCCCTTACCTGGGTCAGAAACAGTCAAGGTGAAAACCCATTATGTTAGTGTATGCAGACAGGTCCAGGGACGTGTGACTGTGAGCCTGTGCACACTCAGAAATAAAGTACAAGGTCACCATGTCCAACTCTGCCTCGTGCACTGCGGCACATTAGGTAATGTGTCCCATCAGTGTAAGTATTCAAAACACGTCCTGGGCTGCACCCATACCATATGTACAGCTGCCAACACAGACTTCTTCACACACACTGGCTGCCATGGCCTGGCACGGCCTGGCATGCACATGGGCAATTGGGGATTACACCTGCCTTGGCGTTTCCTTCTTTCGGTGCTTCTGTTCTCCCTTTCTCCCTCACAGAGGCATCAGCACATACCTGGTCAGACCAGAAAACTGTCTCCTCATTCGGACTAGGTAAGCACATGAGAGGCCATTGTCCTTTAAAGAGAGAAAGAGGAGTCCTGAGTCAGTGATGCGGAAGGCAGGAGAAAATGCTAGAGCTGGGAGGTGGATCTCAGACGAGGAGCAGGGGCAGGATGGAAGGATGTCTGGGGAGACAGGGCAGAGCCAGGGGCACTAAAGTCCCTACAAGGTCATTCTCAGGTTATCCCCAACAGCCCTCAACTCTCCTGCTTCAGCCCAGCCAATCCCTAGCTCAGAGGCTTCCCCTCACCCTCCTATTGGCCCTGCCCAGCCATGTGACCCTTCCCATCTCTGGCAGCTGCCCCTGATGATGGATGCTGCTGCTTAGCTGTACCTGTTGGGGGACAAGGACTGCACAGCTCCTAATTACCTCCTTCTAGAATGAGGGTTGGGGGCTGGGCGGTGTGAGGCAACTTTCTCTCTGGGGCCAGGGCTGCCATCCTGAGCTGGAGGCAGGTGTCCCCCAGTGCCCCTGGTGATGGGGTTACAAGAGCATTGGTCAGGGGTGTGGAATGAGGGGAATGCTTCTGGAAGGCTCGTAGAATGAAAGCTTGTCAAAGCCACAATGCCAGTGGCCTGGTGTACCGGCATAAGGCTTTAAATAAATGGCCTTTTCCCTGTGTCCTCCCCACAGAGGGCAAGATCAAGGACAAGTGTCACAGAGAAATGCCTGGTGGTCAGGGGTAAGATACATTTGAACAGAAGACAGAGGTGAGGGACTAGAAGCTTGGGGATACTTCTGAGGAGGTGGATCTCCTTTTCTTCCCCAGTGGGTCTCCCACAGGCCTCAGCTGCAGAAGTTTGAGGAGGGTGTCATGCTGGTGCAGGAGCCTCTGATCTGGGGTGGCTTGGGGAATGGAGAGAAGACCTCAGGACTGAACAGATGACAGAGCTCCTCCCTTCCCCATGGGCACCAAGGACTTGCGGGTTAGAAGCATGTATTCAACAACTCCTCAGTGTCTAGAGCTTGAGGGGCAAGCCTACAGAAATGGAGGACATGGGACCTCTACCAGGTCTGCTGCATCTGAGCTCTTGTGAGCCCCAGTGAGGATTCTCCACAAGTGTCAAGAGTGGAGGCTGGGGAAGGGTGAGCACAGAGCTAGTGGGCAGCACCAGGCACCCAGCCTGTCTGTTCTCTGGGTGGTGGAGGCTGTGACGAGGTAGCCATGATAACTGTTAATCACTGTTAATTGCTGCATCTCAGTGATGACACCCCTCCCAGGATCCACTGTTTGCAGTCACCTATCTTTGGGGGTCTTGGGTGAAGGAGGAAGGGTAAGGCATGGCCTAAGCACCTTGCCATCCAGGGCCCCCAAAAAGGACAAAAGAAAGCTGTCCGGCATGGTGGTATGATAGTGTCCTTGTGGCCACAGTACCTGACAGTCAGCTGAAAGGAAGGAAGATTCATTTTGGCTCGTGGATTCAATCCGCCGTGGTGAGGAAAGTGTGGTGAATTAGCTTAGTTCACGGTGGGAGGAGTGCTTGGCTGAGGTGGTTCACGGCACAGCCGACTAGGAAGCACACAGGCATCAGATCTGCCCCTTGTGACCTACTTCAGCCAGCTCGGTCCACTTTCTCTCTGTGTGTTTATATTCACGTGTATGCAGGTGCATGCCTGCTTGTGTAAGTGCACACGAGTATAGTCACACTTGGAGGTGAAAGGTCATCCTCAGGTGTTACTCCTCAGGGGCTCTCCACCTTGTTTTTTTGAGACAGGATCTGATTGGTCAGAGCTTGCCAATTAGCCCTGGTCACTGACCAGTGAGCCATAGGCACCCTTTTCTCTCCATGTCCCTGTTGTTGAGGTGGCAAGTGTGCACCATCACACTTGGCTTTCTATTTTGGCTCTGGAGATTGAACTAAGGTCCTCATGCTTGTGTGGCAAACACTCCATCAACTGAGCCATCTTGGTGTCCCTGGCTGGGCTCACCTTCTAAAGGTTCCAAAGCCTCCCAAAATAACACCACTAGCTGAGCACCAGGCATTTATACACGAGTCTGTGAGGGACACTGCAAATTCAAACCCTGCCAGTGGGTCTGCCCTGAGCGTAGTGAGCAGGAGGGGGTGGGTGGGAGGTCCCTAGCGCCTCCGCCGACTCCTCTTCTGGATACTTCCCGAGCTCCATTTCTATCTTTCTAGGGTGTTGCTTTTCAGTTATGTCCGCACTTGAGCGTTTACATGGGTCCCCATCAGTTGGTCTGCCCTCCTCAGCAATGTCCCTCCCCCGCTCCAAGTGCCTGACTCTTCACTACCCTTTGGAGCTCATTAGGCTGCAGGATGGCCAATTCCTATCCCATGCCCTGGCACTAGTGGCATTAGATTTGGGGGCATTGCCAGGTGGAGGCATGTTCACTCTTATTTCGTGTGTGTGTGTGTGTGTGTGTGTGTGTGTGTGTGTGTGTGTGTGTATGTATGTGTGTGTATGTGTATGCGCACACAGAGGTATCTGCAGAAATATACTGGAGTTAGAGCAGGAGGTTGAGGGAGGACTTGGATACACAAGAGGTCGAGGGAGGTGGCTGCATTCTTGCCCAGCCAGATGGCTAGGAGGATGAGGAGGCGATGACCCACCACCTCCCTACCACAGCAGGGTGGGGCAGTTGGTGGAAGCAGGCTTTCTTAGGCTGAGCAACAGGCTTATGTATGCATGTGTCTGTGAGAGCACACACTCACCTCCAGAGACAGTATCGCACCAACATTCTTGTTTCAAGTTGTCTCACAGGTAGTCTATCCTTTGAGCTGCTTCCAGGGCAAAGCCTCTAGTCCTTTTGCATGACCCCCCTTCACTCCAGATGGAAACCTTCTGTACTCCCCAGTGCTGATGGCAAAAGTTAAGACTCCAGTAGGAATTCACAGCATTCTCTGATCGAGTCCCAACTTGCCTCCAGCCTTATCTCATAAGCCTCCAATGAAGAGTCATTATTTACATTCGCATTGCCCCTGACTGTGCCTGTCTCCTCTAAGAGGCCTGGGAACAGGACAGAGGACAACCTTTGGTGTCATTTCTCAGGCTATTCCACCTTAAGAAAACATTTCTTTTTATCTCACGTGTGTTTTTGTCTGTGTTTGTCTGTGTACCATGTAGTACCTACAGAGACCAGAAGAGGGCACAGCATCCTCTGAAACAGGAACTACAGATGGTTGTAAGCTGTCATGTGGTTGCTGAGAATGGAGCCCGGGTCCTACGGGAGAGCAGCAAACTGCTCAGCTATCTCTCCAGTCCTGTCCCACTTGGTTTTTGTTTGATTAATTTTTAATTTATTTATTTGAAATAGAGTCTCACTATGTAGCCCTGACCGTCATGGAGCTCATTATATAGACCGTGCTGG